AAGTTCCTTCCCTATAGGCCTGAATTTACTAAGGCATATATATAATTTTTTTAAAGGTTTTCTTGAAATAATTAAAAAAATTCTCGTCTTTAAATTTTATATTTCTAAGGAAGCCTTGAAATTACTAAGACAAATGTATAAAAAATCTTTGTGGTTTTTACATGTTGCGATATTTATTGGCCAGATTGATATTTCGTCGCAAAAATAAAAATAAATTAAATAAAAGCCTTATTGAAATAATTTTTAAATAAACATCTTTTATAGATTTCATATTTAATTAAGCGTGAAGGACTTTTCCAAAAAAAAAATGTTTCTAAAGAAATAATTGTAAAACATTCTAAGAAGACTTTCAAAAACCAATTATTAAAAAAATCACCCTTACAATTACATAAAAGACCGACTAAAAATCCTATAATCCGAGGAAAAATATTTTAGAAACATATAAAGGCATTCAAAAAAAAAAAAAAAGCATAACGCTCTAAGAAGGTCTTAGGTCTGACATTCCTAGAAAAACTAAAAACATGTAATGCCTCAACATGTAATTCTTTAAAAATCCACGCCTAAAATTCAAATATTCTTTGGAGAAATATTTTTTAGAAATCGTTAGAAAGTCTTTAGAAAATACATTACAAAAAGGCGCACCAAAGGACCGATATTCCTAGAAGAAGTAAATGTCTACAATGTCCTTTAACAAATTATATTCAAAGGGAAAATATTAAAAAAAAACAATTAGCGGACGAGGCCGACCATATAATACAATTTCCACTGAACTTTTATACTCTGCAGATCTAGAGATCAACAGCACCTCTTCCTTACACTGACATATTTTCCGAATATTACTAATATTCAATATTCTAATTACTTGTCCAGATTCCCTTCACTGTGGTTTGTGTTGTGATGTTCAACTTATAATTGAAAACTCGACATGAAAAAAAAAACACAATAAATTTCGATCCCAAAATGTATATCTCTGATCATCACCGAAAATTAGATCCACTAAATATTGACCGATCTTTATCAAAATAAGCATGCTTAGTCTTTGACCTGATCCCCTTCTCCATGTAAATGATGCTCGGCTTATATTTGCGGCCTCTGAAGCCGCAAACATTCTTATTAAAAATATTTTTAACAAATCTAAATATCTAATATTCTTCGTTATATTCGCCTAAGGGCCTCACAAAATAAAACTGTTATGTAAAATCGAGGTCATGTTTGGGGGATGAACAATTTCTTATTTGGAATGTAAGCGTTTATTAAAAACACCGAAGGAAAAATTCGTAATAGTGGCTTATCGAATTTTTTGTTCATGACTCTAGTGTTCATGAAGAAAACCCTTTATATCTCCGTTTGTAGCTTTTGCAGGTTATTTTTCAGATCATGAGGAATATTTTTGTTAAACATATCCCTGTTCTATCTCTGGTCCTTGTAGGTTTTTTCGTCCTTATTTTCTTGGGCAGTAATCGAATTTTGAATGATCTACAAGACGGGGTACAAAAATACAAGAAATCAATATTCTGCCTACGAATTTAACTGGATTACTAAAAATAATTTAAATATTAAATATGTCATAGTAAATTGCTGCCAGGAGATAAAGAAATATAAAAAATACACACACTCAGTTTGGAAAATTGTCCACACACTTTCTGGAAGATACTTCAAATTACATGTGACCTTTTTACGCGTGGTATGAAGAAACATAGATTTATATCGCAAATGTACTGTGCAGAAGTTATTTGTCTACCGAGGTCCCAAAATGGCAAATTACCGTCACTTTGTAATACACATTTTTAAAACATAGTCGTTTCGGTTGGAAAAGGCTTGACCTTTATCTGGAGGCTATACATAAACTTATACAAAACATACTAGCAGTGGAGGCTAGTGTTTAAAAAATATATTTACAAAAATCTGTTATTCCTCTTGGGATCATAGGACTTAAACATAGCATCGCTATCTTACTTGCCGTTGGCATAGATTTGGCTTGAATTTATTTTTTAATCCTTGCTTATAGGGATTGCCTAGGGTTGAAAAAATGTTTGAACATTTTAAACTTATTGTACAGGTAGAAAAAACGGAGACTGAAAATCCATTCGTAAAGATATGATGGTTGTTGCAACATATTCCAAAATAAACCTGTGTTCATCTTCTCTAATACAGCCATTTATCAAGTAATACTGTTTTAATTATAACTTCATTGCTTAGCTACGTACGTGAAACAAAGACGCACGCATTCAAATTTTTCGGCATTGAAGATTTTAAATGAAAATTATGTCTAAAATATAATTAAAACTATTTAAACACTAACATAGTTACATTTTTATGATTTTTTTATCCATCTCAATAACATCACATATCATTAAACCATGAAACATACCGAAATGTTTCTTACTCTTAAAGAAGACATAGCCATCTAGCCATAAATAATTAATTTCATCAATTTGTTAATGGTTGTCGCATTTATTGTTTTATGTTTAAATTTAAACCAATTTGCAATGCCATACATATTTGTTTGTTCGCATTTAATTATTCATTTGAAATTCATGCATAATTATAGACACAAAAACATAAAACAAAATTGAATTCATTTCAGTTTGTCTTGCTTGTTAAACTTGACCTGATTTTAATTGAAATTCTTGATAAATATTCACCATTTTTTCTGTGTATATCTTTAGTAAAACGTTTCAGTTTAGCGTGATATAAAAAAGAGTTGTTTTAAGCTAATTATGGCTGCTCGGTCCACATTAAGGTTAATGTCAAAGAATGTGACTTTGAAACACATAATTGTAAAACTGAAATATGAATTTAGCAAAAGGTGGGTGCGGCTTCTGGTTGTCCATGGATTTATGGAGTGCAAGTGTTTAGTTTTTAATCTAGGCTTTAATCTAGTCTTAACTAAATCCTTGATATTAATTATAAATAATAAAAAAATGAAACATTTGAGTACATGTTATGACAACATGGATGACAGCTAATCTCATTAATGTGAGATAAAATGGATATTTAACAATTAAGAATAATGATCTGTAGACCATTTAAATAAATGATTTGTATATGAAAATAAAAGAAAGACGAAATTATTAAAATTTAGAAAAAAAATATTCCAAAAATCCACTAATATTGTTGTGACAGTCCATCCAGAATATACTCATTTATTTTCTTTGCAAAATTGTCCTTAAAAATCAACATTTAGTAATGGTCCTTTGAAAAATATCCTTAATGAGACATGAATATGTGAAAACTATTCTCTAAAAATCTACGTTTATTGCTGGGCTATTCCACCTTTACCGCTGTGATTCTTTGGAAACAAATATGGTTAACAAATCCATGTTGTGTTGTGATAATCCTTGAAGAAATTTGGAAACTTTGGATACCCTCCACCATAGATATACTGGCAGGTATTTGAATTGAAAATATAGGGAACATACCAAAAAATGGGCCTATACCGATAATTCTACAAACCGATTATGTAAGCAATAATTTTTAATAGAAAATTATATCCTCAGCCTTATGGCTAATTAGTATGTATACACTTTCACACGGTGAAAATGTGCCTCATCGAAATATTGGTTCTAGACGCTATGTTTAATATAGTTCATTATCGAACCGTACGTTCTAGTTTTTTTATCTCGATATCCTTCGCAGGTGAAATGATTACAACAGAGTGTTAGAACCAAACACAAAACGCGGAATAATCAGATAATTATATTAATATAAAAAATAGGGTTATATGGGGACGAAAAACGCGCTCAAGAACCTCAAAATGCCGAAATTTGTGGGTACCTTTATATGGGACTTATATTTATAATTTTTATATACCCAATAAGAACCCAATATACCCAATAAGAACCCAATATACCAAATTTCAGCGAATTCGGTTGAAAAACGCGCTCAAGAATTCTAAAATACCGAAATTTGGGGGTACCCTTATATGGGAGCTACCAGAAAAAATGGACTTATATTTATAATTTTTAGTGGAAATATTTGGTACCCAATAAGAACCCAATGTACCAAATTTCAGCGAAATCGGTTGAAAAACGCACTCAAGAACCCCAAAATAGAGAAAATTGGAGGTACCCTTATATGGGGGACTACCAGAAAAAATGGACCTATATTCATAATTTTTTGTGGGGGATTTGGAACCTATTTTGAACTCAAAGTACTAAATTACAGCCAATTCGGTGGAAAAATACGACCGATACCCCCCAAAATACTGAAAATTAGGAGGTACCGTTATATGGGGGCTACCAGAAAAAGTGGACCTATATTTACAATTTTTTTGTGGAGACATTTAGTACCCAATAACAACCCAATGTACCAAATTTCAGCGAATTCGGCTGAAAAACGCGCTCAAGAACCCCAAAATACCGAAAATTGGGAAGTACCCTTATCCCATCTTCGAACTTGACCTGCCTGCAGACAAAAGACAACCCTATGCAATTCCTTCGGAAGATGCCGTGATTACAACAGACGGACGGACATGGCTAGATCGTCTTAGAATTTTACCCTGATCAAGAATATATATACTTTAGAGGGTCGGAAATGTATATTTAGATGTGTTACAAACGGAATGACAAAATTAATATACCCTCCATACTATGGTGGAGGGTATAAAAAAATCTACAAAAAACCCACGCTTACTTTTTGTAACAGTTCTTGGGCAAAAATATCCCTCAAAATTAGAGTGTATTGATTGAACTGATTGACCCTGTTGAATTGACGACAAGCTAACCAGGGGCTATCCTTTATATTTGCAATCCCTTCCTTTTAAAATCACATCCCTTTAAACAATTTTTACCATACATTAATTTTATAAGAAACGGTTTTGAAAAATCCAATTGCTTAGCTTATAAATTCTCAATGCTTTGTATGGCTTTCGATTTTGTTTTTTTTTTTTGTGCAAGAGAGAGATTGGAAATGGGGTTATATAGATTTCTTAAAATTTGAAACCAACTCGAGTTTATAATGTATCCATTCTTCAACTATCATTTGAATATTCATTTTAGGCCACATCGGGCGATGAATTAGATCGTAACAAAAGAAAAGTTGGCGGTGCTACATTTGAGGCCAAAAATGCTGTCTTAGGTTATGTCTTCGGCGTAAGTATCCCTTTGCTAAAATTATTCACAAATAGTTTCAGTACGCCTTTCAATAATTGTTTTTTTCTTTTCTTTCTTTCTCTCTTTTTTTCATTGTTTCTTCCAAATCCATTTTTTATCTCTTGGGACAAACTATAGAAAATCGATGGTTTCTTGGACACGAACATTCGCATCCTTGACCAATTGGATCGTGCCAACATTGAGAAGAACAAGCAATGGGATATTCCAAAGCCAGTGCCCATCAATGATGTCCAATCCTTGATTACCGCCGTTGTCTCGCCCAAAATCCGTGTCGTCGGCAACATTGCCAATGACTTGACCACCGGTGTTTTGACCACAATTACAGCATTCAGTGGCAGTTCGTCGGGTGGCAACTCCAACAATCCCAATGCTGGTTTGGGCAATGTTGTGTCGAAATTCTTGGGCTTCTCTGGACCTATCTTGCAGGGATCTTCAGGTGGCGGTGCTGCTGGTGGTACTACTCCAGCACCCGATTCCGATGAGGCTGGTTATTAAATAACCAACAACAACATCATTATCAGAACTTTCTTGTATCTGCCACACAAGAAAGGTGCTGAATAACACATCTAACCACTAAAAATGCACATACAAATCTAAAAAATACATAAATAAGTGTTCATATAGAAATCTAGAAATTATGGTTAAAAACACATCAAACTAAACAAAATTTGTGATTTGTTAAATTTGAATAGTTATATAATTTAGATTTTTTGATTTGTATTCATTATTTCATTGTTCGCTTGCTGTTTTTGAAGACAATTCCCTGCGAACGTCGAAATCATTCATAAAATTAGCAAATTGTTCGATCCCTACTTCCATCTACCATAATTAGTTGTATCACAAACTGAATCTATTACGATTGTGTATATTTTTCAATATGCCCACACACACACATTGTCACACAGACGCCCATTACTTTGTAAATATTTTTATATAAGCAATTTTCCGATTCTTTCCTCTCCTATTATTTTTTGTACCTACTATTCGTATTAATTTTTAATATATTGTATATTTTTTATTTTATTCGTTAATATTTTGTTTTTTGTATTTGTAAATTGAAATAAAGGAGAAAATTATGAAAAACAAAATCTTATAATAATTTTTTTACTATAATTATTTTTTTATTAAAAACACTCTGATTTTTTTGTACTGTATTTTTCATCAATTGTTTTTGTCCCTGTATACCAATGGAAAACCAGGGTAGTTTCTGACTTCCACAAGTCGCCCTGATGGCCCCATGTTGTCTAGGGCCACAAAAATTGACAGAGGGGTTGAGGAACACCTAAATAAGATCCCATAAAAAATAATTTAAAAAGTTTAACCCATTCGAAAGCTATAACGAATTTACTATGATTGTTTTAGATAGATTATCATTTAAGCATGGATTTAAATATATATTATTTTAATGTGTATATAATTTTGAGTTCCTACATCTAGATCAGATCCATATAGACTAATTTAAAACAAAAAACCTCACGATAGTCCAATTTTTTAATGAGTTACAGAGCTATCTTTGGATGGGTACAAATGTACCATGGTTGTTGATCTACGTAGGTAATAACTTTAAAAAATTTTAAAAATTATATATATATGGAAAATATCTATAATTATTTTCTTCGATTATGTGTGAAAATACCTCAAGAATGATTCCTCAAAATTTGATCCAAATATCTCCATTATTAAAAATTTTACAGCATTTTTATTCAAAAAAAGGTACAAATGTACCCGGTTATGGACCGTAGGGTTAAACACTTTTCGCTTCATCATTGACAACCCCACTCTTATTGTTGTAATACTCCTTGGGGAGATATATTTGATTACAAATGCAAGCATACTGCTTTTTAGATCCTTGAAAGATATAGTCGGGCCGGGCCGACCAATTTGGTTATATTCAACATATAGATCCTAACATATAGGTATCGAAGGAACATTGACATGAAATTGAACGAATTTAAATATGTGATTTTTATCTATAAGTGAACCGACTAAAATCAATCCATACAATCCTTTCTGCAACCTATAATAAATTCAATTTCATTCGGACAGATTTAGAGTCGTTTGCGTACAATGAGACAAATTTATATAAATCGATTAATACACACTTGATGCGTGCTATTCGGTATACCTCATTGTTCAAATTATACAATCTGCACCAATTATACGAAATATAAAAAAAACAGTATAATAAAAGTCATGTCTATATGCACCAATTTGATAGAGTTGTGCTAATTTTCGAATTAATATGATACGTTGTGCTAACTTAGCACACATCATTCTAGATTCAATTCAGTACGCTATGCCAAATTTCGTGCACATCTAATGACATATATGGGGACTTTAGTGCACCATTTACATTAGATCGGACGAAAATATACATGGAAGCTATATCTAAATCTGAAACAATTTTCACGAAACTTAAGACACATCATTCAAGACATGAATCAGTACGGTATGCTTAATTTCGTGCAAATCGAATAATATATAGGGACTTTGGTACATCATTTACACTAAATCGGACGAAAATAAATATGTGAGATATATCTAAATATGAACCGATGTATCTTCGATTTGCCTGAAATTTGGAATAGCGTACAAATCGAAGATACATGGGGACTTTGATACACCATTTACATTAAATCGGACGAATATATATATATATATATAGGAGCTATATCTAAATCAGAATCGATTTTCAGGAAACTTAGCATACATCATTCTATACTCAATTCAGTACGCTATGCCAAATTTCGTGAAAATCGAAACATATGTAGAGAAATTGGTACACCATTTGCATTAAATCGGACGAATATATATATGGGAGCTATATCTAAATTTGAACCGACTATATCTAAATCTGAACAAATTTTATCCAATTCGGATCACAAAAGGAAACTGTACTTTTTTTTAACAATTTAACATGGAATGACTGAAGGAAGGTACCATGTGTCTATCTGGTTTCCTTTTACCTGTTACAAACATATGCACGAAGACATAATACCCTGTATAAAAATCCACAGCTGTGATTGTTCTTGAAAACATTTTCTTGGGATCCATTAAAATACCTTTTGTCTACGTTTACAGCTGACGTGGTCCCTGGAAAAATATCCTTTAACCCGCTACTATGTTTGGAAAAAAATCAGATATATTATGTTGGGGTCATACTATAACCCACACATTTCGTTGAGAGAGAAGGAGAGGTAACGTATGTAGTAACAAATGACAAATAATTCAATTGCTATAGGATTTACAAATTTTAAAATTTTGGCACTTTGTGGGGGAGGTACCACAAGGAAGTTTGGATGAATGAATGTGGCTAAGGGAATATCCGATCCTTTAGCTTCATATGATATTTACAAATTTTCCAAATGACCTTCTTGATATTTATTTCTCCAGCATTTGCACAAGTTAATTTGGAATTTTGGCAAAACACAATATTAGATTGTTATCTGAATTGAATGGCATATTCCGGAAGTGTCCATCAAACTTTATTTATATACATCCTGAAAATAAAGAGTTTGCAAGTTTTGTCTCTATAGCTAACGACAACAATGAATATGGGCAAGTATTTTATCGTGTTTTATGATCTTCATCGTAAACTAGCGTCAAATGCATATATCCGTAAAATATATCCAAACAGGCACAAGGACATGATTTCCACATTATCTTCTGATCTAAAAAACAGAGCCATTACTTACGGCTGATGGACTGATTGCTTTTATTTTATTGGAAATAAAAATCCATCCTCCTCATGCTAAAAATCAACTTCACTGTCATCATTACACGTATTAATTTATAATGTAAGGGGTCACATGTTGCTTAGGTCTACAGAATTACATAATGTGGACCACTATAAAAACTGGATTTTTTTATGGGGAATAGTTCGTAACATGGGCTCATATTAAAACATTTTTGCGAGGAGGTATTCTACAATCTGAAAACTCGATAAGCCAAATTACATCTGCTTCGGAAGGGAAATGAAGCTAGCACCTTCAAAATACCGCAAATTGGGGCGCTCCCTTTAAATGGGAGCTATTCCAAAACAGGAACTCATATATTTTTGCATTTATTGTTACCCAAGATTGAAATAAATATAAATTTATCACGAACTATTTACAACCTGCTTTTTAACTTACTAGTCCACATTAATCGCATATGCTGGTCCACATTACCCGCCAAGTTATTTATTTCGCAGTTTTGACTTCTTTTTTAATATAATGTAATAACATTTTTATAGACTTACTTACTTAGCTGGCTTGTGACCGAACTTTCGTTCCATAAGCCGAGCTTAAAAAGACCACTTCAATTAGAGAATGAGACCAAGATCTTCAAAATACAAAAATCGTTCGGCACCCTTATATGAGGCTACGTTAAAATATTGACCTAAATTTAAATTTAATATTTTGTCAATATAAATCTATGTTTTTAACCAATACCCATTTAAAGAACCTTTCCTATTTTTTTGAACGTTTTCAATAGCAAATATAAGAAAAACTCTTTGCTTTTACTCTTATTATCCACTAATAAACCATATTTTGACTCAGTCTCCATGTAAGGGTTTCAGCATAATTTATATTTCTGATTATGGTGGCATTTAAATCATCATCCTAGAAATCTATTTATATCAGTAACCTCGAACTAACTTTCCTGACAATTCCAAAACTTCATCATTATTGCTGTTCATATTCGTAAACTTTTTTCTAAAGCTACTTGTGGATTTGTTTATTTAATAAATTCAAAATATTTTTTTTTATATTTTCAGGAAGAACATATACGTGTAAAGAGGGCCGGTGTTAAAAACTATCCCGATGATACGCCTGAATTTGACCGAAACAATGTGTCACTGGATTTTCCCGATGAGTTGTTCAATCAGTCGTTTTCATCCCTGACAAGAATTTCTCAAACAATTTCCCGATTGATTATGGTAAGATTTTTATAGCAAACTTATAGCGTATATTTCGTAAAAGCATATCTCAAATTGAAGTTTTTGTAAAAGCTTTAACAATTAGTAAAGCTTTAAGCTATATTTTCTAAATTGCTAGCGTAACCAACCGTTAATTATAATTTTTTTATTTTTTATTAAATTTGTTTCAACAGAATTCCGCACGCCGCTACTCCCGCTTTGTGCTGTTCTTCAAACCCATTTTCGGCGATGCCTTAGTTGTCAAAGGTTCCGAAGATCCAACAACAACAACTACTACTACCACAACTACGGCAAATCCCAATGATAGTTTAAATGAAGTTTAAATTAATATTTTATTGTTAATCACTTCATATTACATTAATTTGTTTTTTGTATTGTTTTCTTTTCACTTCGATTCATGTTAGTTTTTTAAGATTTTTTTGTTATTTTTAATTTTTATATGCACTTTTAATATTCCTAATTGGTGGTAATAAGGAAAAAAATACACACGAAAACTTGAATTTAAATTTTATAATGATATGACAAATATATATCAATAGGGATCTGAAATTACTTTAAAGAATCCCAATTATAGATATATTAATTCTTAATTAATGCTAATTTCCTGTTAAATATTTTATTTTAATCTTTCATCAATTAGTAAATGCATATTTGCTACAAACATGCATTTCACTAAAATCTGATTACCATCCATTACCAGGAACAGTAATCTTCTGCCCACTGATTTTTGGAAATTGTAGCTGTACATCCACCATTTCTGCCGGCATTTACTCTTAATTAGTCTTGTGCAATTTGTATCATTTGTAAATCTGTTTCACATTGGAAGTCTTACATCTTAACTATTCAAATAGTATTATGTGGTCCTTTGTAAAGCTTCCTCAAAAGGATATGCTATTTAAACGGCTTAATTCTTGTATAATCACATTGTGAACATTTACATTTTAAGTGAAATGTGTGTATATATGTAGGTGACACGTGAGCATAATAGAAGTGGACACAATGCGTTATATGATATAGGTATGATATTAGTACGCAGGAAATTCATTACTGTGTATTACATAGAAATATATGTAATTAAGGTAAGTAGACGTCATTAAAAAAATTAATATATTAGATATATTTTGAGTATTTCTTTATTTTTCTTCTTTGTGAAATTTTTAAGCAGCTGCTGAAGGTGTACCAGAAATAAAAATTTATCAAATTTGGGTTATCTTGAGTATAAATGGTGGAACAAAATCCCTATATATGTTTCGATTTGCACGAAATTTGCCATAGCGTACTGAATGGAGTATAGAATAATGTCGCTTCAGATTTAGATATAGATATATATAGATATATATTTTCGTCCGATTTTGGGTAAATGGTACACCAAATTCGTAATGTTTGTCCGATTGACACGAAATTTTTCACAACGTATCAAATTGAGACTAGAATTACGTTGTTGCATTTTTTTTAAAGTGGTGCAGATGCAGACATAGCTTCCATATACAGTGGTGGCCAAAACATATGCAACAAATATTAGTTTTTTAAGAAGTCCTCTAAAAAAATATTTTCTAAAGGAAACAAACGGAACTTGTTATAAATTTTTTTAGTTCATTTTATTGGTTAACAGAAATTAAAATTTAATCCATACTTATAACAAAGAAAACATAGAAAATTTGTAGATATTCAATATAGTCTAATATTTGGTTGGTCAAAACATATGCAACCAATCATTTTGTTAAATTGTTTGTGCAAGAATATTAATATTTTGTAGCAAATCCTTTATTTTTAATTACAGCCTGACATCGGCGACGCATGGACGATATAAGGTTGTCAATAAAATGTTGAGAAATCGATTTCCAGGCCTCTTCCAACCTGTTGTACAAAATATTCGAATTTGTACAATTTTCACGATTGATTTTTTGATTGACGATTTCCCAAAGGTTCTCAAAGGGGTTTAAATCAGGTGATTGCGGTGGCCATTGCATTACTGCAACATCATTTTGTGCTAACCACGATTTAACAACTCTTGAAGAGTGTTTGGGGTCGTTGTCGTGCTGGAATATCCATCGCAATGGCATATCATACTCTGCATATGGTAGCATTACCGTTTCCAATATGTCTTTGTACATGTACTGACCCATTATTCCACTAATTCTATGCAATGGACCAACTCCTGCAGCAGAAAAACACCCCCACACCATTACGCTGCCTCCTCCATGTTTCACTGTCTTTGTACAGTATCGAGCTTGGAGCCGCTTATTAGGTGGTCGCCGTACATAACGCATACCATCGCTACCAAAGATGTTAAATTTGGATTCGTCGCTAAACAATACAGTTCTCCATTTCATTTCTGTCCAATTTAAATGCTCCTTTGCGAACTGCAAACGCTTTTTTTGATTACGTATGGAAATAAGAGGTTTTTTTGCTGGGCGGCGGTCTGGAAGGGAGGCATCATTTAGACGTCTGCGAATAGTCCGATCAGAAATTTGTATTGGGAGTGTTGCAGCAATTTTTGAGGATGTAATAAAAGGATCTTTTTTCACATTTTGGATTATTAAATTGTCCGTACGATTAGTTGTTCTGCGAGGTCGACCTCCGCGGTGTTGTACCGTAACATCCGAATTCTTTTTAAAATTCGCAATAATGCGAGAAACCGAACTTTTATGCACCTTGTATTTTAGTGAAATATTTTTTTGTGACATTCCTTCGGAAAAATCGGCCATAATACGTTTTTTTAGCTCGATTCCGAACTTATCCCGCGCCATAATTAAATATCTTTTTTTACTTTTAACAACAAATATATTATGAAAACACGTGAGAAAAAGTGGTAAAAATACCGTTATCCGTAAATGATCGAAGAGTTGCATATGTTTTGTCCATATCGATTTTTAGATTATCGATAAACATAAAAAAATCGACAAAATCAAAACCAGATGTTTGTTCTGGTACATATGATCGGTGTCTAAGTTACTGCAGAGGAATATAGATGTATTATTAACGTATTGCTTGGAACAAAAATTGCTTTTATGAGTCATTTTACAATATGTGATGTCCAGTTGCATATGTATTGGCCACCACTGTATATATCGTGTATAAAGTTGGCTTTAAGGGACCCCCCAATCTCGGGATCAATTTTTTTTTTATTTAATTCGAATCTAAACAAATGAAATAATGTCCCTACAAAATTTCAAGAGAAAATCTACAAGGAATTTGAAGATATAAAATATTGCGTCAGCATCAAGTGACGGCTAAAGGGCTTCTCAAACTTTAAACGCGTTTTTCTCGATTAGTTCCATTCTAGTTCCATTGTAATTAAAAATAAGGAATTTACACTAAAATATAAAATAATACAACGCTATGCGTGTATCAAACTATTGCTTTTATCCGACATTTTTTGAGTTATTTTCGTTTGAAGTTACGTATTACTATTTTTTTGAACAAAACAAATTTTGACTATTTTATTTTATTATTATTTTTTTTTAATACCAAAAAATATCTTTTCCGGAATAAATGGGTTGTGTGCAATTTAGTCAGAAAAAATTTAGTGTTTTTAAACAATTTTACAGTTCAGTACTTACAAACCAACTGCACTACTATTTTAATGAACACAGCTGTATAATCACTTTCGGAGTGGATATATGTCCGTCCATTCGTCTCTCCATGAATTTTTGTAAATAAAGTACAGTTCACATTTATTATTCGATTAAGATGCCATTTGACGTGTCAGGCTATAATTAAAAATAAGGAATTTACACCAAAATATGAAATAAGACAACGTTTAAATCGAATCAGATTTAGATATAGCTCCTATGTATATTTATTTTCCAATTACAGCAAATTGTGCATTAAATTCCGAACCATTGGACATTTGCGACAAAAAACAGATGGATAGATTTTTCATTTTTGGCATTTCAATCTACTGAATCAATAGATGGCGCTGCATTCGCCTAATCGTCAGGTCTTTAGGGAAACCGCATATAGCAGTTTTAATTTCCAAATATCACAATCCGTTCAATATTTATATCAATTTGACCAATACCTTACCTGACGATTTTGCGACCGCACGACATCTATTGATACAGTAGTTGAAATGTCGAAAATGAAAAATGTAAGGCTATGGTTTTTGTGCCATAAATTTTGTACTGTTTGGGTTACGTTTCAAGTGAGTTATTTATACTTCTTCGAGTCGAGCTTAATGATCTAAATTTTGCAATGAAAAGGAAAGCCAGGAGAAAAACCTAAATACTCACCATTATACGACGCGTTTCGCCGTTGGTTAAGCGGATCATCAGCCATATTGGGCTATGTGGCTTTACAAAGGTCGTATGTTGATAACTTGTATTTATTTCGCCCTGATACGAAACTTACATATGCGAATTAAATTCAAATTTGTCAAGGTTCGACATTTGTCTTCATCCTTGAAACAGTCCTTTTTAAAGCAGATTTTCGTTTTAGCGATTAATAATTTATCCACAACACCTACAATTGCTTCCATAGTGTACACATGTTTTTGCGTAACCTTTTAGGAAGTGTGTTGATGGCTCAGAACGTTAAGTGGTCTGACAACATTTTTGTTGCTCTGAGGACCTAAGTTCGAACCCAGCCGTGCTCAGCTGATTTTTTTTGTTATTTGAATTTTGCCTTGTAGTGGCAGTGATCATTTGAATTAAATTTTAAGTGAGTTATTTATACTCTTTGGAGTTGAGCTTAATGATCTAAATTACTGAGAAGTCCAGCTATTTCGAAATGATTTCGTATTTGCAAAGATATAAAACTTTACATCAACAAACATATGGATATGCACAATACGACTCAGAAAGTGGTTCTATGCCTATCCTCAAAAGGACTTAGGGTCTATCTTGATTCCTTTCGGATTTAACAAACATATCCACAAAGACATAATACCCTGTACCACGGAATGGTGAAGGGTATAATGAAAACAAACTGAGGTACACACTCTTATTGAAAACTCGTCTAGAAATTTTTTTTCTTCTATATGACTCTTTTTATACTCAATATGTATGTACTGCAAAAATATTTTCGAAATTTCTCATAGAGCTATAGAGATGACCACGTTGTTGTTGCTAGATAGATATAGCATCAAAGTGTACAGCTGTGAGAGAAATACTCTTCAGTGCAATATATGCTCTTTAGTGCAATTCTTATCGCTTTATTTAAAAAACGAAAAAAATCTTTCGACGAAAACAATTTTAGAATATTACCACAGTCAGAATCGAACAGTTGCGTTAATCACTTGAACGCTGCAGCAATTAAATTTACATAAATAAGTATTGTTTTAAATAATGTGCTTAAGAGTCAATATTTTGACAATTTGCAT